CAACCGCAAATTTCGCCGCAGGAAATTAAAAAAATAAATATGCATAAATGTACATCTCCACGGCAATAAAATATTTTTATTTTCATCTTTTTTCAGTCCTGGGGGTTTCAATAATTTACGGATCAAATACATCTGACATTTTCTAAATCCGTCATCTACTATTCATCACCTCTATTGAGATATATTTTATTTCGTTTATCTACAATGACACACAAAAGGAAAAAAAAACGAGGAATTCGTTTTGAACCTAATCGTGCTGCGAACAACAGCCGGAAGGCTTTAATCTCGCTCTATTGACTCCAATCGTTTCTTATTGATTAATTCCATCGAGAAAGAATAGAAACTCGAGCGAATGCCTCTATAGAAATAAAAATCTCAAAACAAACACATTGAGAATATAATATCAAGATTATAAAATCAAATGATTCATTAATGAAGAATCCCTTTAAATAAAATCCAATGTAACGTTTTTTGAAGCTGGTTTATTCGAAATAAATATTTTTTATAATATTTACATGAATATATATATATATATTATGTTACTGTATTATTATTATTATTATGTATATATATTTATTTTATTTATTTTTTAATTGAATTCCGATTCTTATATATCTATCGTTGAAAGACGAAATAGAAACGGATGTAGTAGCACCACAAAAGTAACAATACAATCATCTCTAGTTCTTAAAAAATTGCTAGTCTAATTATCCAAGAATAATTATAAATTACTTCATTAAGTTACGCTTTATTTCAATCGTAAAATAGCATTTATAAGGTTAATTTATATGAAAAATTTTCTGCATGAACATTCGTAGTTGACTAGGGGAGGATGCTGGGGGATGGAAAGCCTAAACTACATGGGAAGTGATAAAAAGAGGAAATTGTGAACACAGCGGTGGCTTTGTCCGTAACGAATTCTATTATGCATTCGCAGGGTGGACATTATGACAGGGGGGCGGTGGTGGTAAATCCGTATGAACGAAATTATGACACTCAGGCGGAGAAATGACCAACGCTTTTACATTCCCCTCTCTGTGAACAACTGCCTAGTCAAGGGATGAACCCAACTGAGGGCTCAACTCAGGGTTGAAATGAGGGGGAGAGGAGTGGCCCGCACAAATTAATGAAGCGTTTACGCTTCGGGAGGCGCGCCTCAACGAAACTCAATTAACCCAACAAAAATGAAGGGAATTTGCATTTTAATTTCAAATGGCTGCGTTATTAAAATCTTGTAAGGGATGGAGTTGCCTTTCAAGGTCGTTGTCGGGTTAATTCATGCTCTCCGCCATTTTGTGCTTTTCTTTGATTCGCTCATCCCATTTACTTGCGTTCAATTAATTAACTGATTTTTTTTTTTTGGCAAAGGAAAGGTTTTTCGTCGATATGTATCGCGTTGTGTTTTCGCACTTGAATTAATTTCTGGTGAATTTTCTCTCGGTCTCGCTTGTGGAAAATTCAAATTGGATATTTGGGAATTCCCTATTTCATGGGCTTTAAATTTATTCGGATTTGGCTTTTCCTTTTCAGTACTCACTCGCTATTCTTTGTGATGCTAACGTCAGGTGGGGAAAATCCGAGAGGAAACTAGTCGGGGGGGAATTTTAATATAGAAAACATTGTGCCCTGTCACTTTCGAATTTTCATCATGCTAATTTTATGCTTATCGATATCGATCGCTTTTTTACGGTACCATTCTAGGTGAGAAGGTGACGCTCCGTGATTTTCGTTCGAATGGGTTCAACGAATGAAAATTGGAAATTCCGGTGTTCACGGCAGTATTTATTTTACGATTTTTCTCTGGAACCGTTTGGGTTTATTATTCAAATAAAAAAATACATCTCTTTTGATTTTTTTCGTCGTCATTCGGAGCTGAGATTTTTTTTTTAATCAAAAATATGGAATCGTCCGTACAGAGGAAAATCATCTTTTATCCACACGAAAAATGAGTTTCCCCTGAACTGAGTGAATAAATATATCTATTGGGATAAAATCAAGCTTGTGTAAATGGTGACTAATAATATCTAAATAACAATAATAATAATATAATAAATGACAAATTATTATTTATTCAGCGTTTATTCAATATTGAATAAATTCGTTAAATCCGTGTTAAACTGTCTATTTATTTAAAAAACCATTTCCCGAGGTGATATTAATTTTTCCCTTGCTTGTTGATTAGCTAGATAATTACACACGATTTCCGAAGAAAAAATAAAAGTCGGACATTGAAAAAAAATGCACTTGTTCCACGTCTCCACCCTGACAATTTTTTCCCGTAATATAATTTTTTTATTAAGTCCAAAAAATTCTGACGCACTGCGACGGCTGAAATTTGCATGAGCCGACGAAAAAAATTGTCGTACCGTTGGTCCACCCGCTCCACTGCGCCGAAATGTCAAATCTCACTTTTTCGTCTCTCCCATTGAGAATAAAAAAAAAAGTCATGACGTTTTTTTTTTTGTTTGTGCCCCTCGTTCACGTTAAAAATGAAGTTGAAATGGTTTTCACGGTGACAGGTAGTCCATCCCGACGGATACTCGTACCTCTCGCCTTCAAGTTGAACCGACGGAGGAAAACAAACAATTAAGAAGAGAACCCCGGAAATTTCCCCATCTCTCCCTCGGGAGAGATAAACCCTCTGGTGTCATTACGTTTGAGTATCGTTACCAGAGACCCCTAAAATTCACATTCACCCCACTGATCTACCCCCCCAAAACCCCCCGCAACAATAAAAACCAGACGCGCAGTGAGGAATATGACTGAGAGAAAAGAAAAAAATTAACCGATCCCCACAAAAAATTTCTGCATTCAACTAATCATCTCCCCCACCTGAAAACCCCAATCACCTCTCCCCCATTATTTCCCCAATAACCCAATAACTCACCCCCGAAAACTCCACCAAAAGATAAAAACCGGACGCATTTTCTCCGGCCTGAAATTCCCTCCCAGTCGTGTAGGATCGTTAAACCCGAATGGAGATAAATCACAACCAAAGAGAATAGCGGACATTTTCCCTCCCCCTCCTTCCCAAAAGGTGGCAAGACCACCCCCCAGACCCCCCTGCCATCACCCCGAATTTTTCTATTCCCCTTTTTTCCATTTCAATTTTTTCATTCTCTCATTTTCCTCCATCTCATTTTTTTTTTGTTCCTTTCTTTTTTTAAGGCACTCCATTAACTCTCACTCGGTGTACCACAAAATCCTGCATATCCGCGTGTTTCAGGTGAAATAATAAGAGCGGATGTGACGTCACTTGATGGATAGAGACGGTGAAAAGGGGGAGAGTGAGAATATTTCAGTGGTTTTCCTCTCTGCGGGCGGTCGAGGTTACACGTGAGTATTTTCTGCTTACAATAGCCACTGTACACACTTCTAGAGGGGCAGGAGGGGGAGGGGGAGGAGGAGAGGGAGGGGGGGCAGGCAATGGTTCACCTGCCCATTATTCTCACCACAATGTACTTCCTTTTGTCAAAACACTGGCCGTCCCCCGACAGGGGCCACGGCCCGCGAATACCGGGGGCCCCTTTTTACGAATAATTATTATTTATTATTACACTCACCGTTCAGAATTTTCCAATGAATTTTCCCGGTGAAGGAATTCCATTCCGGAAGTTTTGGTGGTGTGACAGGGAGGAGAAAGATTCAGAAAAAATTGTGCGGAGCTTGTACGTGATGTAATGCACGTTTTCTGGATTTGTGGAATTTGAGTTGGATATTTTTTTTTGCTTGCGCATTACGGGATTTTTACGTAATTTTTATTAAACTTTATGACGGAGGGGAAGAAGTGCAATTTTCGGATTTTTGTTTTGCCTGTTTTTTAGGGGTTTTCGGAAATTGCGGGGTTTTAGGTGTCTGGGGAGCGGCGAGTGGTCTGTGCATGCAGGTGTAGAACTACTCGCGACTGGACGAAAACCCGTAAATCCTATTTTCACATTTTACCCCGAGTGGTAATTACGACTGTAAATGGACCTGGAGGTACTAGAGTTTCTGGGTTTCAGAGATGAAATGTTTTGAATGCATTTATTGCGCCTGTGAAAGTTCATTTCCGGAATAATTGCCCACTAATTGATAAATTCCAATCGATAAAGCTCGAAAGTAACGAATAAACAACTTTTTTTTTTGCAGGATCCCAATGTTTTTTATTTCGCAATTAAACGGTTTTTTTTTTTCAAATGAATCAAAAATGTCCGGAGGTGAAAATGCGCGTTTTTCATGCACCCAATGAACAGACAGCCACACTATTTTTATGATATTTTTTTAAACAAAGAAATATGATATTCCATGCACCGATAATTCGGTTTAGCGTCCTGCATGTTGGGTATACTATGCACCTTTTAATTCGTCAATTGTTTACGGATTGTAAATAAATAGAAAAGGCTGGATGAGCGCTCAAAGTGTTCACTGGGTGTGAATTATTTACCAACGAGTTGGAAGAAAAGAAAATACGGATAAATACACTGTACTGACACGCAATGTCAGTTCCATTGGATTCTGATGCTCATGAACAATGAGAATGACAAACAAAATTTCGGAATATTCCCAACAATACCAGAACTCTTAATTAAAAAGTATTGATTAATTTCTAATCGTTTAAAATCAAATAAACAAGCGATTGATAAATAATCTAACTATCACTTCAACTTATTTTTAAAATACTCGTCCTGCGATGAAGTAAATTTGCAATAAAATGATGAAAATGGAAAAATCCTCAATGAGATTGAAATGCTGTGAAATTAGAATCTCTTTAAATTAAATAAAGGCTTTCCCCTGAAAATCGAAAGGGCAATCGAGCCCCGAATCACCCCACAAAATCCATCGAAAAAAAGGTAAAGAACTCTAGACTCTCGTTTCGCCCTCTCGAAATCAATCGATTAGTTTGCCTTTGCAATACGATACGATAGCATTCGGGTAATGGGAGACCCCAGAAGTCTCGTTTTCGCGCCACTGAATCTCCCCATCTCTCCATTTATAAACCTCTCCCCATTTCCTCGCTTTTATTTTCCCCCAAACTCATCAAGAGATCGCGGGAGAACTTGAAATAAAATGAAAATAAAATTTCATCAAGACTTTTAAACAATTTCTCGCCGCTCCAATGCAGCAGTTGACCATGGAAGACGATTAACTCGACGATTTCAATTAACTCAAACCGGCAAAAGTCTCTTTCACTCGCTTTTTAATTGATTTGTCGCGGTTGACTCTACGACATTCGTCGTCACTAGAATAAAACGATTCCACTTCGATCTTCGATATCTTCCGATTGAATGATACCAGTCGAACGAGTGAAACTTCATTTTGAAAATTCAGTTCAGTGAAACGATAATTGAAATAAAACACATTTCATTAATCAATCGATATCCGATTTCGCTTGAGAGATTAAAAAATCGCGTTCAGCGATATATATCTTAACACATCATTCATTCCATTCGTTTCCTCTCGTGTCACTCTTTTGAGAGTTTAAAGGGATGGGGAAGAGGAGGGGTGACACCTCGTGAAAACATCCCCTGAAGACGCTTTGTCTTCGTCATGGAATAGTAATTGAGCCGATCTCGATTAATCTTCGGGATTTCGACTGAATATCGAGAGATGAATGGTGGAAAGCCTCTCGCGCTATTAGGTACAGTCCGTGGAGAGGATTTGAGTGGTTTTGAGGAGGGAGGGGTGGCTTTGATCTTTCGGATTGAGAGATTTAAAAAAAAAAGCCTTTGAACGTTCTCTTTGGTTCAGTTTCGTGGATTTTCAGAGCGGAAGGGAATTGAAAAATCGCTCGAATCATCGGATCGCGACCACTCAATACCGAATTTTCACTCGCGCTAGAATTCAAAATTATTGAAATTACCCCTTTCAACTGAAACCAATGAATTCTCTGAACATCCGTTAATTAGGAATTATTTATTATTAATAGGAGTTTCAATTTAGTGCGGATTTTTCATTTGAAAATGTGAAGTCTGACGTTTGGACTTATTGAAATTTGGGGCAGCGCTTTTCTATTTGAAAAAACCTCAACGCGGTAATCCGGGGGATGAAGCCGCTCTCCAGGGGATGACCCCCAAACATTTTAACTATCGCTGACGTTTTTTTCCACTGCGGTCGACCTCTACTCTGGCTCTCCCCTGTGGCTTCTATAAAATTTACCACCGAGCCAATTAGAAGGAGTGAACTGTTGTAACCCGAGTTATACGTCCCAGGAAACTTATCAGGTGGATTTCTATTCCGGTTATAACAGCACCGCAACTTTACAATTGTTCGCCGATGATAAAAGCTTCGGATAAATGAGAGAAAAAAAAATGGAATCGACTGTCCAATAATTTTACTCATCAATGTTCATTAGATTAATCAAATAAATTAGTGGAAAAAAAAATTGTTGAAAGGTGTGGACAATACAATATTGAGGATTAATTGTACAGGTTTGTGGGTTCGGTAAAAATTAAAGAATGAATTCGGACTTGACCGATCGTGAGTGAACATGTGGAGCATTTGTATTGTGTAAATTAATTCCGTATTATTTTCAAATATATATTACTTTATCCCTTTAAAATAAAAGAATTCTTTTCCTATAATTCTGATCCTACAGGTTGAATACTGGGATGGAGATTGATCTGGTGAAATTTTCTTGAAAGGGATGGAACAGAAATCCCCAACAATTAGACTCACCATTGTGCAAAAATTTGCTGCTCTGGGTGAAAGTCTCCTGCTGCACTCTGAGCCACTGACAATAGTCATTGCATTGATCACTCGTTAATACAAAAACCGGGAAAAACAATAAACCGAACGAAGTTAAAAAATAAATGGCGAATTTACCGAGGCGTGCGTGCCCGATGGCGTATACCCGCGGTTTGAATGACTTTTCACCTGTCCAGGTAGTTTTATAGGTTCCGTTGACCTTGGACTGCCTATGCTGTGGTAGAATCCGGCGTCACCTGTGTGTTATGTGCTACCATGTGTGTATTTTATATTTTTTAGTTGTTCCTTTTTTTTTTTCGTGTACACGAGCGGAGGTGTGTGAACTCCACGCATCACCCTCGCCAAGCGAGCCGTAAAAATTCGTTTCGGTATCTCGATCACACCGGAAGGTGTACTCCAGTTCATTTTTACCCCACATCGATGTGCGGAAAAATTCTCGAAGCGTTATAGGACACTCATTAGATTTGAGACAAAGACCGGACTGTGTGGGGACCACCAGCGCCTTAGTATAAACCTCCCGAGAAACAATTTTGGGCCTGAGCGATTTTTGCCTGATATTGATTACAATAAACAAATGCCGAATGACGAATGATGCGGTGGAGTTTTTCTCCACTAGGAAGTGGAGATGACGGCAGTTCGCCTAGCAACTCGGGCGAGAGCACATTCATCTACTTTAACCAATATTAACTGAGATATATATTTCTGTTTGCATTTATCTTAACTTTATATATTTTTAACTCTACGTTACTTTTACCAGTATAAATTATAGAAGAGGCTATTTTACTGAGGTGGAGTGTTTTGAAATATACTCTTAAATCCTTTTAGAATTTTACTTCTTACTGTAAGAGAGTAAATATTTAACGATTTATTTTAATTAATTAATCCGATCTTCCATTTATTGTTAACATTTAAACTTTGGTTTAAAGTAAAGCGGGGAAATTTGGTATTGAACCGGAGGCCAGGGAAAATAGGAGGACTGATGGGAAGAGGCGAGGGGTTTGACACCCTCTAGTGACGTCGGGCCCAAAACAAGGACCCCACAGGGTGAATGGACAGACTCGGAGGACAATTAGGCATTCGGGCCTTGACCTGCCAAGAGTACACTCCTTTGACGATCATCCAACGTAGCGTATTTCGTACACTATTGTCGCGTGATTTCAGAGCTTGTATTTTATTGTATCTTATTCGATTTATTCTAACTAAATGTAAAAACTCCAAATAAAAAGTATTTACTACAAAAGACTCGATATAATATAAGCTGGGTTGATTGTGGTAAATTTAATGTTGCTTGCTCGAGAGTTCGTCTCCAAGTGTCCTCAGTCACCACATCGTCCAAGGTGTCAGGTCTACCCATTAGACAAGGCCCTTTGTCTATGGGGTTGGTCCACGTGTTGGGCTGTTTCTTATAAACAGCCTAAATGTTTCCATTATTCCCTCTGGTCTGTCACAACAGGTCTCTTGTTCGTTTTCACGTCGAAAATATTTCCAACATTACATCAATTGTCTGGAATTATCAATTTCAAGGTCGAAAAGATAATTGAGAATATTGAAAAATTATGGGGTTTAGCCCAGGGTTTGTTGAGTGCAGAGTCCATGGAATAGCGATTTGAAGAAATTTTCTGGAATTTGAAGGGAAAAATAGTGTGACAAAATGGTGAACAGTGGATGGTCAGATCCTATTTGAAATTCAACCCCCGAAAGTGGCTAAAATAGCCCATTGATACTTGGTAAAGTTTGCCGTCACCCCGGACAGTGACTCTCAACACCAGGAAGTTGCCACAGGGAAAGTTTGTGCGGAAGGTGGACAAGACAACGCCATCGGAATTTAGTTCGGGCAGACCATGAGGCGCTAAACCGTGACACCCCTGACATTCTAAACCCGAAGAATCCACCGGTCTCGATTATTCCCCCAGTGGTGTTCCCCGTTGGACCAAAACTACCTATAGTCACAACCTAGAGCCACTAATTCGGCTAACCCATTTAATTAGTTTGCCGACACGGGGTCTCCGGTGGTGTTTCTGCATCTTCGAGCACTCGATATTCGAAACACACACACACAGGAATTCCACCGGAATTTCGATAACGACCGCAGAGGAGAGGAACCCGTTGTCTCGTTTATACCCCGGTGCAAGATAAATTGAGCACGATTCAATGAATTTATTAGCTGATTGAATTTAATTGAATTGAATCCGGGTGGATCCAGATTAAATTATTCATCGGTTGAGAATAAAAAAAAAATCACGTATAAATATTCCGTGAATTCCAACAACTAATTGGTCAATATTGGATTATGGATATCGAAATAAATAAACACTTGGAGAATTTTTAAGACTGACAATTATTATTTCAATATTATAGATAATAAGACTCTAGACAGTTAAGAGGTACTTTACTGAACGAAGACTTACAACCAACTAACTAAAGATTACTAGTAAGGCCCACGCACTCCTCTCCAAAGGGTAATATAATTTCTCCTTCCATCCTCAACCCTTGGATTTTTTCCTTTCTTGACCCTCTCTGGTCGCCAGATGTATTTTTGGAAAAACCCGAAATGAGAAAGTCCCTCCGGGACTTTCCCCTTTTTTTATAACATAAAAGGAAGGTCCCACAGCAACAAAGAAATAAACATTTCCTAAATCCGGAAATATAAAAACTCTAGAAGAGTGAATTTTGAACTCGGGGGAAAACTCCGAAATCCAACAGTCAATATTAACATTTTTCCCATGTCAATTGAATTATTATTACACTTATGGCAATTGTTGGAATGGATATTCAATATTAATACATTGTTAAAATTTCTTCCACCGAAACTCAACTCTTCTTGATCATTCTTTATCATTTCCGTGGGAGTAATTTCGCGGAAAAAAAAATGGAGGAAAATTACTGTAAAATGCGAAAGCCCACTGGAGGCCACGTAAAACCTTCCATGCTCACAAATTTCACGGCAATCGTCTTCTACTCCTTCCTCGAGAGCACTATAAATTTTCGTAGGGAAAAGTTCAAGTGCCGAAGAGAGAGAGAGAAAGGAAGAGAGAGGAAGAGAGAGAGAGTCTCCAGCATAACGAGCCCCTGAAGTCCTAAACGTCAACAAAAAAATCTCGCGTATAAATTCTCAAAGATGGATAAAAAGCCACGGACAAACAAGAATCATTATTTTCAGCAATTAAATGGTAGGGCAAATCCCTCCTCGGTGAAATACCCTAATTACAAACTGAACATGAACTCTGCTGATGAATCAATTTTTTCAACACGAGAGGAAACAAGTTTTTCTCCACTTCCTCCGTCCTTCGGGGTTGGCAAGCAAAAACCGAGGAGTTTCTTAAAAAAATAAGTCTATCATTACACCGCGATCTCGTCACGCTCGCTCGACGATGAGTTCACTTAATTAATCATTAATTGTGTACAGTCCAACAGAAAATTCAATACCCCTAATTTTATTCGTCGAGCTGTCATAAAAAATTGGATTAAATGTATATGTGATACGATTTAATTCTTATATAATTATATCATTTTTATTAGAATATCAAGTTAAAATTCATAGAAATATATTGAACTGATTTATGATGATTACAAAAATCAATCGATATGAAGGGCTCCGCGGAGTCGCCTCAGAGTTTGTATAAACAAACAATAATTTCACAAGAAACCATCTTAGGGTTCTTTATTTGGTGGCGAATGTTCTTATGGTCTTTGTGGCTAGTCTTTAGTCACTTAGAGATATTGATAGAGTTCAGACGGTATTCTTCCTCCTGCGATTTTAATAAAGAAATAGTGATTAGAATCTATTAACTGTATTTTAATTAATTTAACTACCCTATTTCCAATAATTTTTATCTGTACAATTACTTGTCCAATTTTATCACTTCTCGATAACAGACTTATCACCCGAATTTTCCCTCCTGATTGGACATTTCCCTCGAAAAATGACCATCACTAACCACAGCTGTCCCTCCCCCTCCCTCATTACCCCAAAAACGCCATTACCAGGGATATCCCTGGAATATGTAATACCCAGATGTCCACGGGTGGTCACAGCCTCCGAAGGACATGAGACAATCGCCGACACCAAAATTCGAGCTGGTGCCGAGGATTGGCCAACCCCCCCGCTGATCTCATCACCCCCTCGGCAACATGACACCAAAATTCTATAACTATATACCCTATAGTTATGCACAATGTGTCGGAGAATTCCCACTGACGGATTTTCGTTTGCCCTCCCCCTCCCGGTATGAGCTATCCGCGATAGCCATTTCAATTGGCGACGTTAATCAAGCTGAGCGCTATAATATACGTCTGTTTGACCGCCATTAATTCTAGTCCAGTGTGTCAATCTATTTATCAGGAAGACGGGTGGGGGGCAATTATCACACGTACCACTGGATACAGGGGTTTCAGTTTGAATTCACGAGACGAGTGAATAGAAGATGCATTGAATAGTCGATGAATGATCTGGTGATGAATATTTTGATGGGATCACTCGTGATTGATGAGTTTTACGGTTTCCTGTGAGAGTTGGATTCAATGGCAATTCAGAATTTTTTGCTGGTAAAAAAATTGATTAATTGAAATTTGACGCTCTCTCTTCATATGCCAAGAATAACAAATCTCCTCTGAATGAAGAACAATATTGTGAATTCATCTAGGTAATTAAATAATAATAGAGTGTACATGCTCTATTTTCATAATATTCAGTTACTGTAATGGACTACTGTTCATTTGTGCCACTTCAATTACAGTATCCAAGTGATACGTCAGTAGTTGCCAATCAGTAATTACCGATGACTGGGTTTGGATCAGTATGAGGGAACAATGGAGGAATCCCTGTATCAGTCTGATCCAACTAATCCACTAGTTGCAGAGGCAACAGATACCACGGATCTGGAAATGAGAAGGGCGGAAATCTTACGGTGCATATTGCAATTGCAACAGAATAATCGAATATAGAATCGATACATGGAGAGAAATATATACGAAAAATTACTGGTAATCGTATTAGTAAATGCGGGATAGGGCACTGCCCTGATGAAAAGTCATGTGAAATTCATGAAAAATCACTGCAGTTCTCTGGAATATTTACTGCGCAGGGCAACAAAAATTACTGGACTGATCCTCAATTTTCTTCGGAGTTCATTCGATGTTCTAAAATGTACTGCTAAAAATTTGAAATATTCGTACTAGTTATTCAATTTTTACTGCGCTTCGAGTAAATTTTACGAGATTTCCAGTAAATTTTATTGCGCTTCCAGTAAATTTTACTGGACTGAACCGTAATATTTAAGGCTAGGTCGCAATGCTCCACGCTTACTGCGCAGTCCGGTAATTTTTCAAGCGATTCTGGTACGAATTTTTCATACAAATTTCTCTCCATGTATTCTAACGGTCACTTAACTAAAATTTCCTGATTACCCCAGGAATCCAAAATTGTAATACAAAATCCCAAGAACTTTTACGGTAAAAAATGTCTCTCCTTATTCAACACAAAATCATAATCTCCATAATTTTTATATTTCTCATTTTTCCTCGGCAAATTTCCCTCTAACCAGTAAATCATTCAGGAACTGTTGTTGCTTTTCTCCTCCCTGCATCATTAACCGGTATATTCTTTTATTCAACGCCTCAGCATAAAATATTGCGAAAAGAAAACGAAGTTATCCTCTGAGTCTCGTTATCGTGCGCCCGAGCAGTTGTCGAGGATGAATGAGATTGAAGCAACCCCTTCTCCACGATTCTTCATTCATACAACTAAACCGTAAACAATGGCTATTGTTTTCCAGATTGTGCCCATCTATGTGGGTGTCTTGATTTCACTCTTCCAAATATATTTCTCCGTTCTGCAACCAGAAGGGAACCATCAGGGGAGCATGAAGGGAGCATGAGGGGAGCATGAGGGGAGCATGAGGAGAGCATGAGGAGAGCATGAGGGGACCAGGAGGAGAGCAGGAGGGGGTGGGTTTTTTGGAGGCTGGTGGTCCACGAAGATTTCCGCTATTTCTCCTTTTGTTGTTCATGGAGAATAGAGGAAAATCCACCCAGAGGTAGGATAAGCTTACGCGTAATTAACGGAATACCACCACTACCCTCGAGGGTGTTTTACATTCATTATGTGTGTGTTGTCTTTTATTAATGCAGCGAATTGTAATTATCGTAGTAATAGTTTCGTATATTACGGTGGGGCATTTTTCATGAGTATCTGCTGTGATGGCCTGCAAAACACGACACGAAAAATATTGCGCAAGGGGAAATAAATTTTTGTTGAATTTCGAAAGCTGTGAAAATTTAAATGAGAAAATTGTGTGTTCATTATAGTTATGAGGACATTATGAGACATTACGCAGGGATGACGCGAAATTCGAATGCAAATGGCTGAAAAGATTTTCGGGTTTAAGTATACAGAACTGAAGCGCGAAATGGATATATACTAACTGATGTATACAAACATGTATATAAAGTAAACATTAATGGAGAATAGAGTCTGTTAGTGCATGGCTTTTACGACGCTGTATTTTACGAAATTAACCAACAGCCCTATTTCATCGCCCGACGATTCATTGCCTTCGGGGTAACGGTAACACTGTGTATAGACCATAATCTGGCAATGCTTTGCTAATAAATAAACCAAAACCACTTTCTGGGTTGATTAATGACATTCAGGGGAAACTGAAAATTAAATAATCAAACGGTGAATTTTCGGAGTGGACCGAGTGCTGGGAGTCCGAGAAATTGAATTAGTCAGGTGATCTCGGTAAGCAGAACGGGATTATCGTTTCGGTTTATTCAATTACATCTCAGAGACAATTACTGAATAGTCCAGTGCAATATCCTGTACAAATAAAGGGTAAATGTCTAGTTCAGCTCCACCAAACCATTCTGGATGTTTTTTATTTAGTCGGATGGGTTTTCGTCACCTGATTAAGGATCTGGTCACCTTTTTATCCGGAAACAATTAGTGTGGGAGATATGACGGTTAATACACCGCTCTCTGCGTTACCCAGGGCCACGGCGAGGACGTGGCGGTGTGTCGGCCCCAAGGACACATCATGTTAGCACATTTAAAGACAATGGACACACAGAAAGATGGATTTATCTAATAGTCCTGAGCACTTCACTAAAACTCTGAATTCACCTCTCCCGACCATCTACCATCGCTGAACGAACGCCACGACTTATCCGCCGCTATCCTTCTGTAGCTATTCAAATATGAAATTAAATATCACTCACTCGTTACGTCAACAGCGATAGCAGAAGGAAGGAGGGGTTTAAGGAATTTCAGGGACAACAGAGTTTACCTCAGGATTATTTATCGATGTATTTCGTATGTAAATCTTGTTCTTGACGACTGAGAGGATAAGAATGGTTTTTATTCCAAGAAATTCACGTCTCAATGATTTTTGTTTTTTGGCGGACCTAAACTAAAAAAAAAATCCCTCCACCGCTCACCCGTAAAAATCACTGAATCTCGCACGTGAAATTTTTTCATTTTTCGTTCATTTGATTCACAAATTCTTTTCGTACCCAAAAATCGTCAAACAGGAATCACAAATTCAAATAGCCAATTGACTCCCTAAATTCATCCCTGAATTCATTACAATAGAACACGTTCCACTAATTTATATTGATTCAGTGAAAAATCGGTATTTACCTGGTTTGGAATTTCTCGCATTTCAATCATTTTCCAATGCAAACGTCAACATCGACGTTGAAATAGATTTTCTCTGGAAAAGCTGCATGACCATCAATACCCTGACAGTAAATATTTATTGGCTAGTCGGTCTGTATAATTGAAACGGCTTTCCCGGATTGCAAGTTGATTGAAAATAACGTGGAATCAACCGAAATTCTGCTACATAAATCGAATCAACTAGAACAAAATGAAAATTGCCATATAGATAAATCATCAATATGAATTAAATAAATTCCAATCAATTAACTACATCTAATAACATATTCACCCCACAAAGTCCAAAAGACCGGAGTACACTATATTACAGTGAAAAATTCGATAAATTTCGTGGTATCCGTTTCGGTGTGGATGAAATATCCTAGAATGCCCCGCAATACCTCACTTGACTCACATAAATCATTTTCTGCATGTATTCTCGACCTTCTCAATAATCCCGGAATGACCTGATTCCCGAGATAACCCACGTGCCCCAGAAAGAGACTGGATCCCCGTTGGGCATTTATGTACCGCAGGGAGAAAACTAACTCAGACTAAACCATAAAAAAGCCATGAGGAAGTCCCCCTTTTCCCTCTTTTCCCCTTTATCATCGGGCAATTTAGAAAAGGCCGGAGGGTTGGCTTTCGTCGGTGCGACCAAGCCTACCCACGAGCCAAGTATGATGCCAGAGCCCCATCCGGAAATTGTGACCTCAAGGAAAACGGAGAGATGGAAAATGTTGGTACGAGTTGCGGATAAAAATGAGAGAGACGTGGTGGTAAAGGAGGCACACAGGCCCTTTGCCAACATCAAAGAGAATCTTATTCCCGTGGCTAGACGACATGGCTGTGTCTGCATCAAGCTGTGCTACTTGTTCCTGACACCTGAGATTCTTCCAATAAGATGAAAAACTTGTGAAAAATGCTATAAAGATGGAAGCAATTTTTTTTTTCTTTCTCCATCTTTTTTCTTCCGGTACTGCAGTTACTTTCTTCTTGTTATGGAGAGGAAATGAAGAATTATGGTGGAAGGTCTGAGGGATGATAATGTATGGAGGGGAGATTAGTCTTACTTACCTTCGACAAACACAAATAGCTAAAGTTTTGGTGAGTCTGGCCAACGGTGAGGATTAATGGAACAATTAGGCAAGCTTGTTCTCTTTATGCTGATTCGTCGTATGGATTTTCATTCGGGTGCGGTAGTTTCGTGGGCAAGTGTTGTTGCTCAAAACTTATCCAATAATCGAGGGAGGTGAGCAAAAAGTTGGGAGTGCGGGAGGAATTCGCAATGAGATGTCAATGCTTCGGGGCTATGAACAGATATTTTATTTTATCAGTCAGCGGATCATTCGCCTAGTGGACTCTTCTCATCGCCTCCATGAGAAAATGCAACATGACTTCAAACATCTATCGAATATTTTACCCTGCGTGTAATGATTACTTGTTAACCGCGACGAGAAAATCCTCAAGGAGTTCTTCAACTCAAACTTCTCTTCTGAAAAAGGTAAAGTAAAATGAGAAGTCATGGGCTTTTGGGTAAACTTTTGAGCGTGGAAAACTTCTGGGTTTAGCAACTTTTTGCGGATGCCGGCAGCACTTTTCCCGGTGATTCGAACACACTGTTCATCAATATGTTCCTCGGTAACGAACCCACGAGTTGTTGGATAGTCAGGGGTAAGTGAGCGTTGTCAGCGGCTGGATAACTCAGGCACTACCAGCGCGACATTCAAGAAAGTCTAATCACATCAGAAACATCACAACTAATTATGATTAATATTGCTTTGTCCTAGGCAAGAGTCCCAGGGCTTAAATCATCCGAGAAGTCATCCAATGGTGCAGTTGAATATCAAGTTCACTTCATCTGGTTGAAAGCCAGTAATTAATTACTCCAGTGCCATTCTGTTCATCTTTCTGGGATTGGGTAGAGAGATACTTGGCTGTGATATACGTTATATTTTTACTCAGGCCATTTCAGCTTCACCCAATTCATCATCCGCAATGTTTTCACGATGAAAGAACACGAAACACAAACTCATCCCTCTATTACCCGGAGTATGGATTAATAGTTGATTAATTAATTACACGTAATTCTGATTTGAAAAATTTACTCGTTATCTTTATTGCTTAATACTCGTCATTTCAATTAATGCGAACAAATTTTTCAATGAATCATCACACACTTTGATGATTAACAATCAATTTCACCTAATACTTCAATCTCCAATAGTAAATAGCTTTATTAAAACGTAATAAAGTAAATAATACTGATGTACAATGGCGTTAGTACTCCACTCTCGGAGTAGATTTTCTTGTTTGACTCAATGTACTAATGAAAATGGTCTTGGCATTGAATCGTAATAGATCGAAGTTTCGTGCAAATCTAATTGACATCCTGTGTTTGGAACTTTAGCATTTCACACGTACAACGTACAAAACCGATACGCCTGGTTGGTCTTGTTAATTCTATAATATAAATTCCGATTCGTACAAATAGGCTATGCAACAAATGGTACACCATTATAACTTTATAATCATGAGCTTATAATTTTTGTAACAAATTAAGACGTTTAAATCTCCCGTTCAAAAAGCAAACGAGAGTTTGAATCACATGATGATTTGAATAATTCAGATATATTCAATCCACAAGGTTCGCCCTCCCATGATTTTTTACGGTGTTCATTCTGATTTTTCAGAGACTAGAATCGTTAACAGGGTAACAACAAAAGTTCGTAAGTGTTTTATTTTATTAATCCATTATTTTTTAATTTACTGAAGGGAATTAATACACAGGGAATTAATGCGTCTGTTTTTACGGGGAAAAATCGTTGTTCACTTGGGTGTTGAAAAGAAAAATACGGGAAAACGTGTCACTTACGCGCCTTTGCTGTTAAGGCGACGATATACTTGTCGTTGTAATCCATGGGAGGGATGCGTTGCACTTTAGCTACTTTCATTCATTTTTACACGATATTTACACAGTCCGAGGATTGGTGGATCGATCAGGTCTGATCCTTAGAGGATTTGCCAACGGATTTGTCTCTCTGTGAGTCCGGGTTTAATCTTGCACGGGATAGTCTTGCTGTGTCCTTTTTGGGGCCCGATGGGGCTGGCTTTTTCTTTTTTTTCGGTAGACTACCCTGGAGGTTCATTGCTTGGCTGGCTATGTCATCGCGAAAAGCGAGGAAGCCTAATTGAGCGTGTGAGGCCTCGTTGAGAGCGCGGGAGCGGATGCAGGCGTGATATTGATCGGTTGATAGCCTCTGGCCTGGCCCACCTGAGCAAACCTGCAGAACAACAATTATCTCATTAGAAAGTTCACCACTCAAGATTCGGTTGTCATTTCCGTCGATAATCTATCACTCTTCTCCTATTTTTGAACTCTAAAAGATATTTTTCACGCAATTACCTAACTGTAGAAAGAAACAAATTAATTCGTTTCAAATTCAAAGCATTAATTGTTATTATATATAATTATTATAAAACCAGAAAGACTTGGGATAAAAAAACTCGGCTTTTCTCCTGGAATCTTAAATTTGTGTTCCAACCACTGGCTTCCCTCGTTACCCCATCGCCCAGCCAAATAAAGCCAGTCCAATTATCTCTCCAAGCGTAGAACAAGACCAAGAGTCCCAACACGTATTTTACGAAACCCGACGCCAAAATTCCCTTTCCGGTGTAAAATCCTACTCTTAACTATGCGCCTTAATTGCCCACCGGCCTCAAAACTACAATGAGCAAGACAGAGAGGTGGTGCTGTGATTTCAGGCGTGTCGTTGGCGACAAGTGGCCAGCCCTGCTGCTAACTAAGCCCCATACATTTCCCTTTTCATCCGAGGTTTAATATTTGTCCAGTCCTCTAATTGCTAAGAATGACTGCAGCTGATGGACTCAACACATAAAACTTTATCTCTAAGTATTAAAACAAGTAAAATGGCGAGTTCCGTTTGTCCAAGAAATAAAAATGAATGGTATCTTTGAGGGACTTGAAGTTTTACCTTGATAGTTCCGTCCTGTTTTTACCATTTTGTATTATGCAAAATTATTCATAAAAAATATATTCTCTAACGATGAAATGTATTCACGCTCTGGACATTCGGTAAAAAATGGAACAATGCTGTGGGAATGTTCCATCGAAGTGAGAAAATACCGATGAGGATGTATAAGACAGAAATAATCGGCAAGAATTCATCGACTCACTGGAATTTCATATAAGCAAGTGGTATGCTGGTGCATGAGCCGAACTATTCGACCAGTACGAAAATAGCAACTGGAGTGAGAAAGGGAAAAGCTCGGTGATGCACGGAGGGAACGTGTACGAGTCTCGCGAACAACGAGAACAACCGCGTGTTCATTCGCCCTGGAACTTTGCAGAGAGATACTCAACTACAACCACCGACAAAGCTAATCCCGTCGTTCTGCAGCTCAACGCACTCAGTTCTATCCATTAACGAACACCCCTGCGTTGTAATCCCTCCTGCATTCTATTTTAATGAATATTTCAAATTCCCTCGGTGAAGAACATTCTTTTTTCCAGTCTTATTTCAACGTCATAATTCATGGGTGAATGAACCGGATAGATGAACGGTACTAATTGCCTCTGACGAAGGTATTTAAAAGAATTCTCGAAGCGTTGTGAATTTGTGCGAAATGGAATATTCGATTTTATTAACATTCCTCAATTTAAAATTTTATGGATGGAGAATCAGCGATTTAGCTCTGACAATCAAGTTGGATATAATTGAATTGGAGAGGGACTTCATTTTTCCGACATTTTAATTCTTGGGCGGTCCGTAAAATGGCGGAAAACATCGGGTAACTCCTCACATTTTTTGTGATCCTGTTACGAAATCCCCGATTGATTCAGATTTTGAATCAATGAATTTGTTGCAGTTTCGTCTAATTAACTGGTGTTTTTAACAGGATGCGCAGGAGAATTGAGGAGATATTTTTTCGTGATATAAGGAGACGAAAATGAAAATATTTTGAATGGCTGTAAGACAACGAAGACGAAACCGGTCCACCTCCACGACGTCCTGGCCATCCTGGTCTCGAAAATTCCAAAGGAATGGACGTGTGGAGCATGCGTGAACGATATCGTGTTAATAAATAATTGAAGGGGTACAAAA